TTATGAGCAAGATTAAGTGTTCTAGGGCTCCCATTCTTTTCAATGTTAGCCATAATTTGTTGTGATCCCCACAATGCCCTTGCATAATAAATAAAGCACAAATTAACATTCTCCTGGCATTCTTTGCTTTCAACTAAGATCCATCTGACATGAACAATGAATTATGGTGCCATAGCTTCAACTACACTGAGGTTGAACTTCTGGCAGTTCCCTGTCTACATTCTAACTATTTTTTTGGCTAATCTTCAGCAATATTTTGCTTCCATGTAGTATTAATGATAGTCAATTACTTCTACCTTCTGTTGGATCATCTTTTTTGGGAATGAGAATAAATATGGATCTCTTTCAGTCAGTAGGCCAGATAGCTGCATCCCAAATTTCCTAGCACAGACTGCTGAGCACACCCAAGATTGCATCTGTTAGTTGGAACATATTAACTGGTATCACTGAAATAAACGCATGCAATGTAAAGGTGGCCAAGTCTGACTTCTACCAGCTTCATAAAGATGAACTGTCCACATCAATATTATTGAGATTCCCAAACAGATACCTTCTTGTTAGGACATGTAGCTTCATATGCTCCTGAACCTATCTTCATGAACCATTGGGTCAGTTAGTTCATTGCTGACTCACAGAGTTTACCCACTATGGTGAGGATTAAAAGGGAAATAGGTTGGAGAGTAGGGGAGGCAAAGAATATCACAGGATGCAAATTTAGGTTTAGTCCCACAATCCCAAATCAGAATAACAAGTCAGTATTCCTCATTTAGAGTCAACTGTTGAGGAACACAGATGCAAGAAGCCTCTGTTTTGCTCAGTCATCCAGCAAACATATTAGAGCAGTTATAAGTCAACTTTTTTTTCAATGATCTGGCAAGCAAAACCTTTAACTGTAGCATAAAATACACCTTCCTACAGTCTTTTCACAGCAATGCCACAGTTTCCACTCTTTCACCTTCATCTTCATCAGACCTCATAGTGTGGAAAACTCTCTCCCTTATATTAGTCCCACAGCTGTTGAGATCTGCAAGGTCATGTGTCCATAGTTATGATTGCTGGAGACCATACCCTTAATGGGGGCTAACACAATGGCTAGAAAAGCCAGTTTTCAAGGGTTCTTACATCCTAGTATCCTATTGTGGGGCCTTATATTTTGCTAATGCTTCCAGTGAAGCTTGAAACTCTTCCTTAACAATTGCTGCTTTATCATACATTACTTCCTGAAAGGTTTCCATGTCAGTAAATTATTTTTGGTGTAGTGACTCTATGTATTCCTTTCATCCTCTTTTGATTCTTCCTGGGTCGCTCAAGATTTTCCCATAGCATCTCTCCGTAATACAACGTAAAGCTTGAATTTGTTTCTCAACTTAATAAATGTGGAGCTTATTATTCCCCTTTTATTCTGGAACCCCAATCTTGGTACATTCCATTGTAAAATTTTACTCATTTCCTTTGAAATCTTTTGTTCAATTCTTTTACTTTAGCATCTTTTTTCTTTTTCTTTTTTTGTCTTCTTGACACTGGAGTGCAACTTGCACAGTCTTGTCTGAAGATAATTTTGGTCTTTTCTTTCTCCTTTAGATCTCTAAAAGGTCTCTAAAGACCTTTTGCTCTATTCAGGGTGATATCCAAGAAGATCAAACTGCTTTGGAAGCAATATTGGCCTGTTTTAATCTATTATATAGGGCTGCTATAAGTACAGATTAACTTGTAGGTGATGGATTAGGGTTTTACTCATTTATCTTTTAAATGTAAAAGTATTCTATAAATGAATATTAATTCCTCTTGTATGATGCTAAACTTAGAAATTTTTCACCAACTCTCAAAGTTTAGTTTTCTTTTTTTTTTTTTTTTCATTTTTGGGTGGGTATTTGTGTGCCTGGTACAGGAGGCGATTGCCCCTCCTTCTCCAGCAGAGCATCTGGTGGATTCAAACAGCATACCTTTGGATTGTAGTGCAACTTCTTGCCACTAGGCCACCAGAGCTCCCTCAAAGTTTTCTTAAAGGGTTCTGTAGTTTTAGGGTATATACACTGGATATACTCCAGTGTCCTAATAAAATCTCTAAGTCCCTTCAACTCTATTATTTTTCTTAATTTTTTAATTAAATATTTCACAACAAAACCATATTTGTAATGGTCATTCTTGTAGAAGTATTGCTATTTCTATAGGTTTTAATTTAGTCTGCTTATAATACAAAACGAGAAATATTTTGTTTTACTTTAAGAAATTAAGATATTAGCAAATTACTCACCTCTAGTATTTGAGAACAGGAGAGAATGTTGTTCTAAAGGTCATCCTGCAGGAATCACAGCTCATTTCATATGATTAAAAAAACCCACCCTAATTATTAGAATAGCCATTTACATAATATGGTTCTATTGGGGTAAAGTGTCACAACCTTACAAGTGTCTGTTATTTTTGTTATGTAGCATTGAGTCGCAACCTCAAGGAAACAAAAATTCTCACCACTGGGCCAATTGGCAGCTACATGATAGATGGCAAAGAGATTGAGGTTGTTAATAACTTCAGCTGCTTATTCCCACAATCAATACTATTAGTACTAGCTGTCGGGAAATCAAATGATGAATGACACTGGAAATATTGGCTGTCAGGGACCTCTTCAGAGTCCTGAGGAACAACAAGACTGGAGACTAAGGTGCACCTGATCTAGGCCATGGTCTTCATAATTACTTGTTATGCATCTGAGAGCTGGTCAGTAACTACGGATGATAGAAGAAGAATCCATGCCTTTGAGCTGTGGTGCTAAAGAAGTGTTGAACATACCATGGACTACCAGGAGAACAAACCAGTCTGTACTGGAAAGGGTGAAATGAGGCTGCTCCTTGGAAGCAAGAATTTTGAAATCACACCTCACATACTTTGGGCATGTGGTCTAGAAGGACCAGTCCTTGGAGAAGGACAATGTTTGGAAGGGTGGAGGGACAGCCCAGGAGAAGAAGACTCGGGATGAGATGGATCGACTCAGTGACTGGTGAAATGGGATTAGGTCTGTCAGAGATGCTGAGATTGGCTCAGGATAGGCAAGGGTTGAGAGCTAATGTATGTAGGGTTGCTATAAATTGCAGGCGACTTGATAACACATAACAAAAACAACAACCACCATTTGGTTGAAGTTAATATGTATCTGACTCTCCAGCAGGTTTCCTCAGGCAGTAAATTGCATGGAAGGAGATTTCTCATCTTTCTCTCACAGAGCAGCTGGTGGGTTCAATCTGTGTACTCTTGTGTTGGAAGTACAACTCCTTACCACTAACTCACCAGATTCTCTATAAATCTAGGTAAATATAATAAAAGAAAAGCCTGAGGCCAAAAGGATGAAAAAAAAATGTTATCATAATATGATGAGAGGTGAGAAGTAAATGTTGCCTATTTAATCGGGCTGCTAAAAACCTGCCCATGTTCCTTAACCTGATTGCTCAGACACACCTGTCTAAACACAGAGTGAATAAAGGAGCCTATGATCATAAACGTTTTAAATTAATTGATTTATGATCTTGGAGACTCTTGTTCCAGGAACTAAGAACATGTACTAAAGTCTCCCAGATCTAAAAACCTGAGAAGTTATCTAAAAAATCCCACCATTAACAAAGAAGCCTGTTAACTACCTATCTTAAATATCAAACCCAAGACCAGACTTCTGACAACCATCACGGAACAAAGAACCTTACCAAATCCCGGGACACTTCCCTCCAGGATCTTTCTCACACTCATGCCTTTGGCCATCGCAGTAACAGGCCTGGCTTGATTCTGAGAGGGCAGAGAACAATATTTGAGGCATCTATCTTCTGCTTTCTTGCAAAGTATCTGAATAAAGTCTATCCTCAATCATTGTCACTACTAAGTTGGTTTGTCATGGCAGACAATAAAACACCATATTTTTTCCAGTTACAAGAACGAACTTGTACGTGAAGTATCCATGGGCCATTGCCAGGAACAAAGGACAGAAGCAGATAAAAAAATGCAAACTAAAAATTGCTGATAAAGCCCCAAGTTCTTCCCAGTTTGTATCAGCTACTGCTGTATTACTAGTTAGCTGATTTTAACCAGAGAATTAGAGAATGCAAATAGATCTCAGTGGTAAATAAGAGTAAAATAACAACAAAGTATATCTTTTATTCCTAATCTAAAATAAACTCAGTTATTTTTCATTTTATTGTGTAAATAACCTCTTGCTGTATTTGTTCACAGACAGAAGGATTGATCTTTAACTGTAGATTTTTTTTTTGCAACTCAGTTAGTTTGCAGATCTATAGAAGCAGTTATTTCTTTGAAACAAAGTCCCTTGAAATAGAGTGAAATTATTATTTTTGTTATCATCACACACAAGCCAGTTGGTTCCAACACGTAGCAACCTTATGGAGAGTAGAATAAAATACTACAATAGCCAAAAATGCTGTGCCATCCTTATAATCACTGTATGTTCAAGGCACTTTTGGTAGTCACTTTGCCCGTGTATGCCACCAAGAATCTGTCCCTTTTTCATAGTCACACTGTTTTACCAACATGATGTCATTTTCAGGTCTGGCCTTTGTACACAATATATCTAAGTTCCTTTTCCCATCACTGATTGCTATATTTTTGGAGAGTTCATCATGCGTTCATTGTTATTTACCAACATAAGGCAAAGTATCACTTTTTCAATGACTATCCTTACCTACTGTCTAGATTTTTCATACAAATGTGGCTTTTATCAGGTGGGTAAGGGGTAAGGATTTGTGCGGCCAAATCAAGAGAGTTTAAGTTCACCAGCTGTTCATCAGGAGAAAAATGGGCAATATTTATCTGCTAGAAATAGAGTCTCTAAAAGCCTACTGTTGTGTCAACAATGAATCAGTTCTGATTTAACAGCAATGGGTAGATGGTGAGATTCTAACACTGTTAGTTATTGCCTAGAATGTACAAATAAAATTGCAAGATTACCTCTTTAATCCATATAAAATATATTAATATTGTTTCTGTTATTATAAATCTTTGCTTCATAATAATTTAGGAAGCAATTTCTTTAATGCAACAGTAACATCTTTATTCCTCAGACTATATATGAAAGGATTCATCATTGGTGTCAATATCGTGTAGAAAAGAGACAGTAGCTTCTCTAATCCCTCAGATTTATTTGACTTGGGCTGGAAATAAGTGATAGCAGCGGTTCCAAAGAATAAGATTATAACAGTCAAATGAGAAGAGCAAGTGGAGAAGGCCTTGGCCCTCCCTCTGGCGGATGATATTTTTAGAATGCTGGAGATAATTTTGCCATAGGAGGTAACGATTAGCAGAAATGGAACCATGAAAAATATCACCGAAAGTATATAGACCAGCATCTCATTCACAGATGTATCCCCACAACCAAGCTTGATTATCGGAAGGACGTCACAGAAGAAATGGTTAATTGTGTTAGCGCCGCAGAAGGAAAGAGAGAAAACCTGACACGTTTGCCCAATTTCAAACGGAAGTCCACTGATCCAAGAGCCAGCCACCAATCGGATACAGACCCTCTGATTCATGACCAAAGGATAGTGCAGGGGGTTACATATGGCCACGTAGCGGTCGTAGGCCATCACTGCCAGAAGCAAACACTCTGTACCTCCAAAGATAAGAAAAAAACATAGTTGTGTAGCACAGGCCAGAAAAGATATATTTCCTTTTTTGGTGCAAATGTCCTTGAGCATTCTTGGGACAGTGGTGGTTACATAACAGATTTCCAAGAAGGAGAAATTACCAAGGAAAAAATACATGGGGTTCTGGAGTGTGGGGTCAATTCTTGTTATTAGTATTATGATGCCATTGCCCAGCAAAATAATCATATATATGAGTAAAAATACCCCAAAGAGAACCCATTGAAGGTTGAGTATATCAGAAAATCCCAGGAGAACAAATTCCCTCATTGCAGTCCGATTTGATTCTTCTGCCTGTAATTTGCTTTCCATCTGTGGATATGGTAAATTTGAGATAGTTAATTCATTCACATTTTAAAAAATGATTTATACTTCTGTTAATTGAACATGTGCAAAAATAAACATAGATCTCTCTTAATTAAAAAAAAGTATTTACACTTCTGTTAATTGAACATGTGCATAGATAAACCTAGATCTCTCTTAAATAAATTCTACTACAGCCATGTGTTTCTAGTAAAAGAGATTTGATATGTCAGCATTGAAACTCATGCTATGAAAATAATGTCAATAAATATAATCACAGTATAGTTTCATAAAATTTTATTATGTCAATATTGGAGAGACTGAGAAGCATACATTCTCAGGATAGATCTAAGATTAGTTTTCGTAACAAAAAGAGGTTATTTTCAATTGTTGCATGACTTTCCCCGACCCCAGGTTGGTATCCAACATTTCTCGTGTAAAAATTGTCTTTATAAAATTCTAGTTAATGTAATCAAGATTACTAATTTTCCATTGCAATATATGGCTAATTTTAAAAATCAAACCTTTGTTACCAAGAGACTAAATATTTGTATTATTGTTCTATTTTTTTTATT